ATTTTTTTATTTAATATTAAGATAAAATACAAAGTTAAAAAAATTCCAAAAATATATGACTCATACTGTATATATTTCAAGTTTTATCCTAATTAAATTATTATTTGTTAAATTATAATAAAAAATTGTTATTTTATTTTATTAAATTTTAATTCATTTATTTAATTAAAAAAATTAAAAAATCAATTTAAAATTTATTAAAAGTTATTTTTTAATTATTTTTTAATTACATATTTTATTTTATTTTACAAATAAAAAAAACTATTATAAATATATAATTTATTTATTTTTTCAAGAATTTTTGTTTAAAATAATAATTAATTTTGATAAAATTTTAATAATATATTAAATAAATTTGTTTCTTATATGTTTATTAATATATATTTAAAATTTTATTTCATTTTATTAAATATTTATTGAATTACAAATGAAAATGTTAAGTTCAAAAAACTTTTTAGATAATTTGTATCAATTTTAATATGGGAATTAAAATTTTATAATTTTAATCCATACATTATAATTTTTAATTGAAAAAGTGTAGTGTATTATGATATTTATCTTTATTTTAAAATTTGAAATTTTATTAAATTGATAAATTATTTACATTTATTGAATAAAAACATTGTATAAGTAATCCTTAAAAATTATTATTTACAAGTTTTTTTTTCTGAATTAAAAAAATAAATTAATTAATATACTGTATAACGAAATATTTTATTATTAAAACTAATATAAAATTTTCGTTAATAATAATAATAATAATAATAATATACAGTATATACAGTATATATATTAATGATACTAATAATACATGCATGATATGTTTTTATATTTGTTTGATTTTAGGAAGACAAACAGTAATTTCAAAAAAAGCTTCTATCTCATTGCGTTTTATGGTTTTTTGTCATGATGTATTTATGAGTTTTTTTAAAAAAAATAACTTCAACTCTGGGTTGAACTAATATATGACATGTTCATGTGTTTAATAGAAATTGTGTATAAGCGGACGGAGCTCATCATTGGTCAATCAGTCCCTTGACAAGTTATTTATCATTAAATGACGTTAGCATTTCGTAGAGTGTTGCGTCATAGTCTCTTTCACTCGTGCGAGTATATAAATATTTTTCGACCATCTCACCTTCGTCTGATTTACTTTTCTCTTTTTGAAATTAAAGAATTTTTTTTTTTTTTTTTACTAGCTGGCAAAATGAACCAGTCGCCAAGAGGTCAATCTTTTCAGAAAACGGACAAACCATCAATTAATAATGACATCGACGTCAATTCGATCGCATTTTTTAACGCTCCTATGCATTTTCAAATGTCCACGGAAATTTCCAAAATATTACCACCGCCTACAAACAACCAAATGCTTCATCTTCCAACGCCGAAAATTCCTAATTTAAACATTGCAAATCCTTCCATAAATCAACAACTATCGGCTCCAAATGTTAACTATTCGCCTTCCGGTCGAGGAAACGTTACAAAATCAAGGCAAATTACAAGTCATGACCCCAAAAGAGAAATGCGTTTAGAACGTAATCGTGTTGCGGCAAAAGAATGTCGTGAAAGGAAGAAGGCATACGTCCTTAATCTGGAACAAAAGGCGACTCAAATGCAACAAGAGAATGCAGCTTTAAGGAAAAAAGTCTATGATTTGAAAGAGCAACTTGAATGGGCAGAATCAAAAGTGGCAGAAAAAGATCAGTTGGAATCGATGGTTCAAAAATTGAAAATAAAAATCATGAATATGGAGAGAGAAAACGAAGGCATTGGAAGGATTTGATTGATGCAAGAAGTTTTTTTTTTCAAGAGAAACTAATGCAGATGCTATCTTAATTTCATTGTATTTTATTTATATCTTGTTTAAAATTTATTTGCAAAATGATATTTGACTCTTACGTGTTTGGCAATAAAAACTCACGGAATACGTTTTGCATGCAAAAAAAATGCCATACAGTACGTCATTTGTTTCACCAAATAAAACGTACGTTATATAAATTCTTAGATTGCGGGTTAATCGTGTGGTAGATCAAGTACGTATTTATGCTAGATGCATAACTAGAAATACGTTACAAAGATCTAATTTTCTATATATTTTCGGTAATAAATTTTACTGATTGTTTTTTTTTAATGCAATCTCAACTAATTAATTACTTATTTGTGTTAATTGTTGTAGAAAGTTTCGTTTGTTAATATTTGGTATTTTTTCAACTTTGTTAGATCTATTTTGCACATTAGGTTAAAAAATAATGTACAATAATTTTATAGAAACAAAATAGGAAAAAAAAAAAATGACCACTGCCTACCCGGCATTGAATGAACTCTTTGTCTTTTTAAATACCACTATCACAAATGTTTCGACATTTTGTTCGAGAATTCCTGGATCTGGAATCCTACTGAAATATATCAAAAACTCTCACCAAAATGATCCATTTCGAACTACTTTGGAGATTATGTTGGTGTTCTTCGCGATCATATACCTGTTCAGAAATAAATATCGAACAGATAATAATTTTATTGAGTTAACACCAAAGGTAACTTTTTATTATGTTTTTTTTTTGACATAACTTATCTAAATTGACAGTGTTTATGTCGTCATTTATATTTAGGAAATTGATGAATTGGTTGAAGAGTGGCAACCTGACCCATTAGTTTCACAAATTTCTGAAGAAAAAAGGATAGAATTAGAAAAAACTCCGGTTATAAATGGGTATGCTTTTCTTAAGTGGTTAACATATTTCAAATTTCGAATCTGATCTGTACTTGATTTTTAGTCCCACTGGTCCAAAGGTTAAATTAGCAAATGGAAAGGTTTTGATGAACCTGGCAAGTTTTGATTTCCTTGGATTTTCTACGAATGAGCAATTGAAGGTAATGAATATTTTGAAAATATAAAACAACGTCAATGAAAAATCGACTGATTCGTATCCTTTCTTAAAGGAAAAAGCTATTGAAACTCTTCGACGTTATGGCGTAGGTTCTTGTGGTCCACCGGGATTTTACGGCACAATTGGTAACCTAACCAATAGATTAATAACTTGAATTTTCCTGTACTCGAGTTTTTAGAGTAAACTCTGATAACATCCCAATCATACGATAGATGTTCACACCGAATTTGAAAAAACCGCATCAGAATTTCTTGGTACTGAAGACACTGTATTGTATTCTCAGGGGTTTTCTACCATTGGTTCAGCTATTCCGTCATTTTGTAAGAGGGGCGACATAATTGTCGCGTAAGCAGCTTTTTTTTGTTATTTCGGATTTATTACGTAATAAATTTTCTTGATGATTAATTCGGTTTTACTTTTCAGTGATGAAGGGTGCAACTTCGCAATTCAGAAGGGTGTACAAATTTCTCGTTCTATTATCAAATGGTATAAACATAATGACATGGAGGATCTAGAGAGGATTTTACAGAAAATAAAAGATGAGGATACCGAGGTACGTTGCTTATTCTTTTGTGCTGATAATTCGTTATTACATTCATAACTGTAAAATTGTTGTAATGTTTTTTTAGACTGGAAGACGATTAACAAGAAGGTTCATTGTCACCGAAGGCATCTTTGAAAACTCTGGCGACATTTCACCTTTACCTAAATTAGTAAGGCAGTTTTTACTCGTGTCGAGTTTCAATCATTACTTTCTCGTTTTCCTTCATCTAAATTAATGATATTTTTTTGGAAAACTATTAAAGATAGAGTTAAAGAAAAAATTTAAATATCGTATTATTCTTGATGAAAGCATTTCAATCGGAACGTTGGGCAAACGTGGAGCTGGATTGACAGATTATTTCGATATTGATGTGAGTTTGGATTCAATTCAGGATGCATTTTCTGTAAATTATTCCGATATTTAACCGACAAATTCTTTTTAAATCAGCCCAAAGAGGTTGACATGATTGTAGGTTCGATGTGCAATTCATTATTCTCATCTGGTGGTTTTTGTTCGGGTACGTTTGAAATCACCGATTATCAGGTATATAAGTTTAATTTATTTTTTAATCTATTATTGTTTTATTATATACTATTGTTTTTGACACTCATTGTTACAGAGAATTTCAGGACCAGCATACTGTTATTCTGCTGCTCTGCCAGCAATGTTAGCGGTATGTGCAACAGAATCACTCTTAACTTTGGCTCAAAATCCAAATCTTCCCGCGATAACTCTATTAAATACAAGAGCCTTCAAGAACGTATTGGCAAGTGTAAAATATATTAAGGTTGAAGGATCACCCGATTCGCCTATGTTTCACTTGAGACTAAACGAGGACGTAATTAGAGTTGGTGATGTGGAAGAAAAGGAAAGGCTCCTTCAGGAAATTGTTGATGAGGTATCTTTGCTTGTGCTTATGTTCGCAAATGTTTTCACCATTTATTCTAATATTGAATGATCTCCCATAGGTTATGAACAATGGTATATTGTTAACTCGTGCAAAATATGTGAGAATCCATGAACTTTTTAATGTGGAACCAAGTATCCGTATTTGTATTTCCGCTTGTTTCACTAAGAAAGAAGTTGAGAAGGCAGCGTCAACAATTAAAAGCGTCATTACCAAAGTTCTGAAAAATAGAGTAAATTAGATACATCTGAGACTTATTTATCTAATTATGGACAATTTATTTTGTGAGCAATATAATTTAAAAGTAATTCGTTTAAAATTATTACATGTTATTTTATTCTTAGAGTCTGCGTAGAAATATCAAGGATTTTGGGTGAAAAATGAATCCTGCTCGGATTTGATCACCATTGTTCTAGTTATACTATTCAATTTAATATCTATATTAATTATTAATAAATTAATAATTTATTAAAAAAAAAAAAGATTAATAAAAATATTATTTACAACTCAATATAATTAATGAAATAGATAAATTTATTCTTAAAAATTACTTTATTGGTAATATTTTAATTAAAACCGTTATATTATAAATTGGAAAATTTTTATTAAAAATATTTTGATGCATAAATTTATTAAATACATACTTTGCGATCATTTTTATTAATAAATGATTATTGATTTTTTAACAATATTTGCTTTTATATATATTAAAATTGTATTTTTATTAACAAATCATTAATTTTTATTTAATGACAAATTTTTCTGGAATGTAGTATATTATATTATTATTAGAAAATAAATTTATCAAATTATACTACATAGTGTTAATCATTTAAGACTTTAAATTTTATAATTACATATTATTTTAAATAATTATTTTTAATTAAAAATTTCATGTTGTATATTAATTTTATGATTTGATTTTTATAAACCTCAAGTTTTCTTATATGTTTTTATATATTTTTTTATAATAAATAATATAAAAATAACATCTCTTTTGAAACATGACATTAAAAAAAACCAACATTATATGTAGATAATATCATTAATTGATATGAAATTATTTTATTTATTAATATTAAAAAATTTATGTTTCATTTTGTTTATATTTTTTAAATCAATCTTTTATTAAATAATAATGTAATTTTAAATTTTTTTGAAAAATTTTGGATACTACTATTATAAATAAATAAATCAATAAAGTTTATCTGTTTAAATATATAATCTTTTTTTTTAAATAAATAAACATCATCACTTTATTTTTATTTTTTTTTTTTTTATTTATTTTTTTTTTTTACTGCAAATAAGCATAAAATGCAAGACTTTATTGATTAATTAATAATCCTGTTATTACATTAAGTGTCCATTTAAGTTAATACTAGACTATTGCATAAAAAACTTCTAAAACGATAAAAACACCATGTGGATGAAACCACAGTAGAAGTGGTTCATAAATGGCTTATGCCTGTTCATAAACAGCTAAGTTATGGCTGGTGGGAATATTTTTTTTAGTAGTACAGAAGATTTTCA